GCACTAGAAATGGATTATTCAAATCCAAATCCCTTATCATTTCTCTCCAATCTTTGGCCGCCGACACGAACGCAGCGATCGATTTCTCCAACATATCTATTAATGGCTTATTGTCGTAAATGAAGTCACTTTTCGATATGAACTGATCGTGATTTGGATCTCTTTTCCACATGTTTTTGTAATCTGTTTGCACTCTATTCGCCAATTCATCGATTCTGTACGGTATTAGTGTAGAGCCAGAGATAGCGTGCAGTAATACTCCCAACAATTGCGAACACGTCTTATGTAGTGAAAAGTCGGGATCAATGAATTTGTCGACCAAATAAAAAGTCTCGTATCCCGTGTGATAAGCCGGATAACCACTTATCGGGTATTTTTTCTGAAACATAAAACTTAGATAATTAATCATCATTTTGGGGAATCATTGAACAAAATCTAAATTAAATGATATTTTATTAGTAATTTACTTTTTACAATTTTGTATTATTTTCTAAAAAGTTAAAGTTTTACAAAACAAAAGATTAATGTGTTTTCAATAAAATATTTTGAGACAAAAGTCCGCGTTAATGAAGAATTCAATTATAAAATCATTTTTTATTTAGTGAACTACTGTTTTATTTTTTCTCAAATGAATCAATAATTACAGCATAAAAAGCGAGATTGTTTTGAATGTTAATGACAACAATGCAAACAAAGCTGTGTTTTATGGACTAATTTAGATAAGTTATGACTTGACGTAATAACAATACAATAGTTTCACTACTAATTCACTGCAATTTCTTTTTATCTGAGATGAGGGACTGGGATATAAAGGGAGAGAGAGAGAGAGAGAGAGAGAGAGAGAGANTATTAAATACATAAAAAAGCGGCGAATAAAAAATTATGATATTTTTTATGTCTAATAAGTATTGTATTATTTTCATAGCAAGAGAGAGAGAGATGGGGAGAGGGACCTGTCTTTTGTGAATTAATGAGTCATAAATAACTGTATGGATGTAAAATTGAATGAATTGTATAATACCTTATCAAATGTGAACTCAATATTGATAGCGGGAATGCCAGCGAAGAATGCGAAGGGGGCGTGATCTGTGCCCGAACCCAGGGTCTGGATTCTGTATATAATAATACAAATTATACACACTTTCACATAAATATTCAGTCATTTTTCAAATGAAACAAAAGAATTTAATAAGTACTTGGGTTTATCTAACTCTCCACTAATGTATTCCTGATATTCAATCCATTCGTTCAAAAGAGTAGTATTTCTGAACGGAATATATTCTGTGACTTCGCGTAGAATTTCCATTAGAGAGGGCGAGGCGTCAGGACTCAGATTCGGACCCTTTATACAAGTGTCGACATTGATATACGCGACAGCTTTTTGAGACAATAGATGAATGTGCTCTTCGACCCATTCAGTGGACCCAATGAGACCCAACTCCTCTCCAGTCCAACTCGCGAACACTACTGTCC